GTCTCCTGTGACAAGTGAGAACTCCTCTGTGCGGCACCTCAAGAAACAGGAAGATTTCTGAACCACCTCACAAACTCCTGCTTCCTGCACCCAAACTCTTCTGCAACCCAAGCAATATAAGGCTGAACAACCAGACTCCAGTCCATCACATGTCAGGTCGAGCTCAGCCTGACTAATAGTTTCCACAATCCAGTTTTTTTCCTACTTTTACGGCTCTCTAAGGAGATCTTGCTCCTCCGATTAGGAAGTCTTTTGCTATTTGTGAACGCTTGAGCAAATATCTTCCTAGATGCTCTTATATGTTCAAGTTCTTGAAAATGCAGTGTTTGGGAATGAGGGTTTGTAGCTTGGGAGCCTGCATCAGTTTTTACACTGTAACTGTTACCTCTGCAAATGAACCGAGTTCCTGTAAATTTAATCCTGAACGAAACAGGATTTTAGCTGCAATGCTGTTGTATGCAACTGTAGTAATTATGCCTGGCAGTTCCCAATCAACAACACATTTTAACAAGCGCACAGGGATTAGTCCCAGCTGATGAGGTTGCTTAGTCTTCTACTGTATTACTGCAAGTGTTCAAAGGGAGAAGCCCGACCTCCAGAGCAATGCCTGCCTCCCCGGGTCCCCATAGAGCAGGGGTGGGCAAAATACAGCCCGTGGGCCAGATCCAGCTCATTAAGGCATTTTATCCAGCCTGTGGTGGCAGGGAGCACCTTGAGCTGTGGTACATGAAGCCAGTCCCCCCTGCCCCAGGAGCACAGCAGGGCTGGGGTGACATGGCAGCCAGGCTTTCTTCCTTGCAGCCTCAGTGGTGGCAGCTCCTTCTGGCTGCCACTGCCAGTGTCATTGCTGCACCATACCCGATCCCACTGCCCAGGCACCCCAGCCCGTCTGCCCCACACCCACCACTGGGGTGCTGAACAGAGCGGGCAGGCAGGCCGGCAGGGTCTCCGAGGAGATCGGCACAGGCTGCCCGCAAGCAGGGCGTGCTTGCTGGACAGATGGGATGGGGCCGCAGGTGAGAAGCAGTGTCCAGGAGTGGGATGGGTGGGCAGGGACAGGGCCGGGGCTGGGATCATTGGGCGGTGACAGCATGAGGCTGTCCTGGGAGCAGATCACAGCTCTGCTCCAAGTCCCACCCCCATGGTGTGACCACCACACCATCCCAGCCCCAGCCCCAGTCCTGCCCTGTTCCTGGATGCCACTCCCCGCCTACCCATGGCCCCATTTCATCCACCTGGCTTAGCATGCCCTCCCTGCTCTATGAAGACTTCGTTTGCCCAATGCCTCAGACCGGTCTAGTGATCTACCACTTTGGGAGTTTTGGTGAGCTGTTGTGGGTAGAGGGGCAGTGGCACTGGCTTGGCATTGCAACAGCTCACCGAAACTCCCTAAGTGCTCCACCAGCCCAAAGAATTGCCTATCCCTGCCATAGAGAGAGATGAAAAAGTCAGAAGGCTCTGTGCTTGGAATTGCAACTTTTTCTGGCAATAAAACGAATCAAGTGCCTTTGTTAAAGGTTTGTGCTCTGCCTTCCTAATACTTTTATATGGTGTAGCCAGGCTTCTTTCAAAACTAAGGATGCTAGATATTAATCGTTGAGCCACAGAGAAAGTGACAGGTGTCAGCTGGTCAGAAAGAAATATTGCTGTGCTCTCTGTATCCTGTGGAGAGGACTGGATTGAGTAATGCCATAATTCTCCTTTCACATCCGTCCCTGCAATGTATTGAGGCTGAGGCTGATCTCAGGCCGGTGAAATAAGCATCTATTTTATAGGAAAGCAATGCATTTGTCCTGTATTAAAGAAGAACGCCAGTTCAGAGTCAACTAAAGCACCCAATGCAACCATAATGCCTCCTCGTTCATTTAAAAGAAAAAAAATGGTTTTCAGAAAACTTAATCGCAAACCCACAAAAGCCAATAGGAACTTTCTGTAGGGTTCAAATAATTTTGCATCCTTTTCAGAGCTTTCTAGGATCTGAACTCCATCTATATGATGCATAAAGGCCCTTTTTATCCCCCGCTCCCCCCTTCCTCAGTTTTTATACCGAATCAGAATGGCTGCAGAAATAAATGCAGAAAACCTGGCTACAGCTTCATGCTGTTAGCCATCATACAGGATATTGTGTACTTTCAACTCTGTCAGGCAGTAACAACAGGTCTTTTATTGCACAGCCCAAGGACACTTTTCATGTCGCTCTATGTAGCACACAGCTGGGATTTTCAAATAAATCACCTATTGCTTGAAAATCAAGTTGAGACCAGTAGTTTTCAACCATTTTAGGCTCAAAGCATGCCTCCATTTGGAGTTTAATGACATCCCAGTTAAGAGCTACTTTTGTACTGCCTCAGCCTATTGATCAGGTAAGTGTAATGCAAGCAGGAGCAACCCCTCTTGCCACAACCACTTCCTGGTCTGGCCCCACAAGCACCTCCTTGAATGAGAGATGCACAGGTCAGCTCCACCTGGGAATGGCAGCCTGGAGATAAATCCATTGGCAAGTGGTTCTCACACTGCCGCTGCCTCCATGGCCAGGTGTACCTGCCCTAGGTGACTGTTTCCAGGAGGCACATGTCAGGCTGGGTTGGGAAGCAGTGTCCCTTTTTCAGCCACTTCTGCATCCACCCCAACCTGGGCCACCTGGAAACAGAGGCACAGAGGGCAGCTCCACGTGGCTGCGGCAACGATGAAACGATGGCTCGGCAGCCCAGTTAAGAAACACCGCTCAAGACGTTCACCTATCAGCAGTGAAAGTTTCTACTCATCCGCAGCGCAAACCATTCTTGAGGATGGGCAAGCAAAATATTGCATTTTTCATCATCAGTGTCTTCATTGTGGTATGAATAGTTACTGTTTTCTGTGTGGGCACAGCAAGGTCCATAATTCCAAGTTTCTATTTATTTAAATACATGCATGCACCTTGCGACGTATCGATTTGGTTTCCTTGAGAGTCCTTGCAGACAACAGGCATACAGCCTCGTTCCAAACTATGGCAATATGAACAATTATTAGAGAGTATTTATCAAAAAAAAAAAGTAGTGGCACCAACACAGAGCAACAGGCAGTTGCCTTCTCTGAATCCAGGTACCATTTTTTTATTTATTTTTTTTAGAAAATAAATTTTAAAAAACCTCAAAACAAATTTAAATATTCACTATGCCACAAAAACATAAGTGACTTTATAGTAAAATGGGAAATTTATTTAATCTGTTTGTTTAATCACATTCTCATGATCATATTTTACTCCTAGGAAAATTAATTCACATTCAAGACATTAGGTTGAGTTACAGGCTTATTTACAATCGGCAAATAGAAACAATGGACACGCATATATAGTAGTTCAGCTATGACTGCATTCACACAATACATCATATGTCATCATTTTAGCTACAAGCCATGGGTCTAGTCCACATCTCAATCTCCCTGAAGTCATTGGATCTACATTTGGCTTACATCTTTTGGAGATGTGGAGCATTTCTGAGGAGCAAATTAAAAAGAAGAGTATTTCTGGTTCATATCTAAACTAGATGCGAATCCCAGGGTTCAGGTTTCTGTTTTAGAAGCTCCTACACTCCTATTTCATGCTGTCATTTAATTTCGTCATAGAGACTCGGTTGTTCCACTTCTCAGAGCAGTCTCATGAACACAGACCTTTTCCCACCAGATACATTTCACAGTTCATCACAGTTAAAAAAAACCCAAAAAACTACACCCCATTTCCAGGTGGTGGCAGCTCTGAGTAGCTGAATTATCCCAGCACCTGAATGGTTCCAAAGTTTACGTAGCAGTTACCTGGAGATCCAAGATATCTGTAACAACTGAGATGCCAGGGTGATATGGGATAGAGGGTATTTAGGAATCAACCAATGGATGCTTGTGAACAAAAGACAAAATCCCACCAGACTATGCCAAAAAAAAATACATTCCCAAAGACTCCTGAACATATGCACCTTCACAGCCTCTTTGAGTAGACCATCAAAACAGGTCCTTGCTTTGATTACAAGAATCACGGGACATACCTGGGGTCAAAAAGCGACAGAAACAGAGTAATGTTCATTCGACTTTGTTAGAGGCTCCCCTCATCTAATAACCCCAGGAGTGTCTCACCTCCTCAGTGCTAGGCAAGGACTAGGTAAGCAAGTGGAATTTGTCACTTAGAAGTAACAACAGTAGACAGTCAGTAGGGGTTGGGCCTCAGTATATATTATACAGGGGTTAAGAAAATCACAGATGCTCTAAACACAGGTTTAGGATGTAGCAAATAATATTCATTGTTTCAGTTCTAAATGTCTCCGAATCAACAGAAGTCCATTAAACAGGAAAATGTACTTACTCCAGATATAACCCCAAAATAGACCGGACATTAGCTGGGTTAGCCTGAAGTCAATTAGAAGACAGGTTACATATGCACCTTTATAGACTAAATAAATTGTATATATAACGAGAAAGAGAGGGAGAGAGAGACAGCATGCACCTCCTTTCATTTGTGTGTGTGTGTGTATACACACCTTTGCACACTCACTCTTTCTACATATACCCATACATAGATGCACGTACATGTGTATACACATGCGCTATTCTTTATCTGCTTAGTCTATAAAGATGCATATTTGCCTTGCCTTCTGACTGACCCCAAAACAGACATTGTTTAATAGGGAGTGCAGAGCAGCTGTCTTTCATATCAGAGCAACACTGCTAACTCAGATGAGTTAAAGCGGTCGCTGTGCCTAAGCCTAGGCAGGTGGTTAAATGCCTTTAATCTGATTTTATATGGCATCATTTGAATAATTCAGTCCATCTGACTTGACGATAAATGGAAATAACATGCTCATCATCTTTAACAGCAATGAAAGATGAATGATCTCCCTCCCGCCACCCCTCAAGAGATGACATGAAGTACAAATGCATTTGGCAGGAAGCAACTTGTTTTAAAAACTAGCTCTTTTCCATAAATGGTTCTTAGGCAAACAGCTAAAAACTAGTAGAAACTCCAAACTCACCCTCGCTGGAAGAGATCCACATTATGGAATTTGTGTAGTTCCACAGAAAACTCGACCGTTCCCTGTACCTCAGACATGATTTTTTCAGGTCATCACCTAAACGACACATATACAGGTAGTTTAAGCACTCTGAATATTTTGCTTAACAAATTCACATCAATCACTCCTTTTTGGGTCAGCGCTTTGGGATTCATACAAAGCCCACTGAAGTCAACGGAAGCCTTTCTTTGGGAGAAGGGTCTTCTCGACTTGGACTTGATAAGAATCGTACCAAAGGACAATAATGATACATTCAAGTCAAACTTGACCTGAGGACAGAACAACACTGCTGCATAGGACTGAATCATAATAATTGAAACATACACCAGAATTAGTGCAAGTTCTCACAGCACTAGCCAAACTCTGCTTAACTATTATAATCACCTTCCTGTGAGGGAGATAGGCAATATTATTCCCATTTTACAGAATCCGACGGCCAAAGACAGCAGAGGTTGACACAGTGAATAAAATATAGGCCAACAATCCTGAGTTCTCAGGCAAAAGCCAGTGGAGTAATACGATTCTCTTCCCCCTGTCTTCTTTACCCTCTCCTACCAAGACACTTACCCAAGAAAAGAGAGGGAAGGTTTTCTGGGAAAAGAAATAATTGCAAAATAATGAAAGGAAAGGATTGCTGCTTTCAGTAATGTTGACTTCCCTCAACAAGGGATTCAATGCCACTCAGATACGGTTATGGTGGGGCTAAGGTTAGAGAGTGATAATATTTTGTCTCTTCCTCAAAACAGTTCTGCCAGTGTTCATTTCAGGAAGTAAAACCCAACACCCACAACCACGCTCTTCAATTCTGCAGTGTGGCAGCAAGTCCAAGCTAAGGGTTTATCAGGGTCTTTGGCCAATTAAGAGTTTATTACTCCCTGCATCCTCCCAAGACTGCCAGTAACGGACTGCCAGCTCTTAGAGGCAGTCTGAATGATACCAAGGATATCGCAGACAAAACGCGGCAGACCCAATTTAATCGAATCATGCACTCTACTCCCCTCCATATAAAACTCTTGTATGAGTGTGGAGAAGGATGCCTCAAAAGCCTCCGTTTGAGCTCTTCTTCCTTAACAGGACAGGGAAGCGAGGGTAAGAAGTGCCCGATTCCCTGAGGCCATGGACTGTGAACAAGTGCATTAACAAGTTCCCCATTTAGAAGTTAGAGCAGCTCTTATCTGCAATCCTGCCCTACCTCTGCAATAGGAGAGGGTATGCCTTCGCAGGACTCTTGTTCCCGTCACGGCCAAAAGTGTGGTAGGTGCTTGTACATCCGTGCAAGGCAAAGCAGGATTCTGATGGTTCATTACATGCACATCTGTCAAACAAGCAATGTACTGTAGCTGCCTGATAAGTCTATTTGCCCACTCCTGACTATGCGTTTCCCAAGTGACTGGTTTATTTATTCCACAAGATATAAACACAGTTGTGTTTTTTTTTTTCTTTCTTTCTTTTTTTAATGGTTGTCCTTCTCATAGTCTCATTTTTCAAAAGCAGCTCACGTCCCCCTTTTTTTTTTCCACTGATGAAAAACACACGCATTGCAGACTGGGATTCAAGAATGACAGGTTCTGCAGCATGAAGTTTTAAGCATATTGTTATATTTTATATATATTAGCCATACTACATCTATCACCATACCATACATTTGTGCTTGTAGGTATATGTATATATTATGCATATATACATATACACCTTTTATACACAAGTACATGTACATGCTTTATGCATACATATATATATATAAAGCCACATCCTTTTATATATATATTTGTTCACACGTGCATGCATGCGTGCATGCATGCATGCACAGGTTAAAAAAATTTACAGCTGCAGATACTGTATATATGGGAAATAACTGCTGACCTACTTGTTTTAGTCATATTAGATACGTGAACTCTAATATACGGAACCAAACTTTTGTTAAAATGAATTCAGGTGTCACACCGTTATGATTTCTATTACAATTCTGAAATGACAAAGGTAAACTCAAATGTTGCTATCTGGCCAAGCTCATGTCATTTGTACCATTTCCCTCAAGATAACCTTGAGGTTATCTGCACAATGCTAACTCCCTGCAATCAAGTAGGGTAAGTCAAAGGAGGCCATAAACGGGGAAAGGAACACTAAAATAACTAGGCAGTGGCAATAATAAGTTGCTATAATAAACTTGAGGATATAATAGGGAAGCCATTAGTTGCGGGAATTGCTGCTGGCCAGCTACACAATCAGGCGAGGAGTACGCTTCCCAGAATAAAAGACTATGTTCAAAGTGGGTACTAAACTGTGAAAGATAGTGGGTATAAAGGAGAAGGGCATAAGCGGGTTGTCAGCAGACCAGGGCTGACATCCAAATGGATGGGAGCAGCAGAGGAAGACAGTCTGGTTTTCCCAACCAGAAGTGGAGATAGGTTAAGCTGAAGACATGTGAAGGGTTAGGTAAAGAGAAAAATGTGTACAGGCCCTTATTTCATTTACCTTTCTTTGGTCCCTTTTGTACCGTCAGTGAGTGATGAAATGCTGCTTCCGCTTGAAGAAGGAGCTTTAGAAACACTAGCTGCCTTACAAGGGAGCAGTTCCCCCAAGTGAGAGGGCTTGCAGGCCCCCAGCTGAATCACGCTTGTTGGATTAATACAGTGCGGCTCAACTCCTCTGGCACTGGGGCCACATGAATGACACGGGGTTGGGTCCATGGACTGAATCCAGAGCACAGCTCATTTATCAGAGGTGCTGGTGGTAGCTGTGTTGGTCTAAGGACGTAGGCAGACAAGTTTCTTTGAATAAATCTGATACCGTTTATTAGACCAACTCAAATAGTTGGAAACAATTCTTCTTTGCAAGCTTTTGGGTGCAAACACCCTTCTTCAGGCAGAGGGAGCATCTGCCTGAAGAAGTCTCCCTCTGCCTGAAGAAGGGTGTTTGTACCCAAAAGCGTGCAAAGAAGAATTTTTTTTCAAACTATTTTAGCTGGTCTAATAAAAGACATCACATTTATCTAAAGAACCTTGTTTACCTCGTTTACATTTTTTAAATAATACTTGTGTTATTTTCTTTTGCTGCCGATAGGGCAGGGTAGTGGTTGTTGAAGCTGAAGCCTCTTGGCCAAAGTTTGATGCTTCTCTTCATTTTCATTTGCTACTGCCATGCACCACCTTCAATAGCTCACTGTCTTTGGGTCAATGGAGTTCATTTTAGTGGCGACTCACCAAACTAACCTGTGCTCTTTCATATGATTGGGGCGATTTGGTACTTACACACATAAGTACACTCAGAGATATTAAAAAACAAAACCTCCCAGCACTCTTTCCTCCCAGGACAGGGAGACAGACTTGATGATCTCTTCAGGTCCCTTCTGACCCTAGAAACTATGAAAACACCTGGTTAATGCATTTCTAGTTGAGATTCACAATCAATGCTCTAGCAACCAAAGGGGATACACTGAGTGCAAATGAGAACAAAGTTGTCCCATATCTCTGTAGAGCCACATAGGGTTTACATGACCAAGATTTCAGTTCACCTGCCAGCGTTGGTCACCGGGGCTGGGGCAGCAGGTTTGGGCTCGGCAGGTGTGATTTATTCTCAGAAGCTGTTCTACAGTAATATAAAACATGTTTACCTGCCCCAGCAGACTATAAATCAAAGGGTACATAGCCTGACATTTCCTCAGTGTTTTTGCCATACATGTCTGTTTTCCATCACAGAATTCATCAAAAAAAAATCAGGGGCCAGGGAGGAAAATAAAACATCCTTTGCTAAAGAACAATGACTCATAAAACCTTGAAACATTCACTTAGTGCAAGCGTAAGAAAAAAGCGGCAAGCTGTTTCTCAGGAAGCAAAACAGATCTTGGAAACGAGCCTCCGAAATGCAGTCCCACCATTCCTGCGTACAGAGCAGCCTGCATGTTACTGTGGATTTTCTAGGTGGCCAAAAGTTGCTATTAAATGCGGGGGGGGGGGGGGGGTAAATTTTGTTTTTAAATTCACAAATTACGTATATAAAACATAGTCCCAATGAAATGTTATTGTTCTCTTCTCTATACCCATCTGCTCCTAGCATAGCAATCAATAGATTCAGGGTAGAGAAGCAAAATAAAACACAGCGTCTGAAGAAATGGCATTGGAGATTCAGGGGGAAAGCAGCTGCTAGAATGGAAAGGGAGCTAAGCTATTAATAAAAAAAAAAAAAAAAAAAAAAAAATCTCTTTTGGTCCTTGAAATGCTTCTGCAATTTGCCTTTTTTTGAGCCCAAACAGATCCAACTTAATCTTAAAATCACAATTGCATTGAGAAGCCTTAAATGCAAGTGAGCTCCTTTAAGTCAAAGCAATCACAAAGAACAGGAGGTGCTTTGTGCCCAGCTCTTCTTAGCCATTCTCCTCTTTGTGAGTCCAGCCGCTTTGCTTTGCAAGGGCATTAAGAGAATGGAGAAGGTGAGACCTTTCATACTGTGGTGATTTATTCTTGGTAAAATACCATGTTACCACTACAAAGGATGCTGGGCATGTACTTATACTCCCAAGATCTGAAACACCCCAAGGCGCACACTTTACTAATTACAAAAGTCAATACAAGTAAAGTGCTCCAGGCCTAAGGCACTGCAACTCTCCATCTAAGAGTCTACTTTTGCGGTCTTCAAGAGGAGACTGGACAAGCACCTAGCTGGGGGTGTCTGAGCCCTGTGCTCTTTCCTGCCTAGGGCAGGGGGTCAGACTCGATGACCTACTGAGGTCCCTTTTGACCCAAACATCTATGAATCTCAGTGTGAAGTCTAAGGGTATTTTAGAAAGTAACAGAAACTTTGAAATACACCCATTTTGTGTGCAATGGGTGGGAAGGACACAGCAGTGGGGAACATTATGGACACTGCTGAATGCACCCGTTGCTTACAACTATGTAGAGAAGTGATGTGGTCCTGTATTACTTTTAATTCCTTTAGTTCTTTTGCCCAATGACTCCCTCTGACCTCCATCCACAACCTAAAGATTGTTGCAGCCCAACCCTCCTCTTATTCCTTTCCGCCTATCAGCTGTCTCTCAAACAGCAGCTGACAAATACTTT